ATACAACTGATACAATCACCATGACCTAATAAATAATTCAGCGGTGTAGGGACACACCTATGTACAGTCTTTCCTACAGGGAGGAAAGACAAGAACACACTGTGCGAAGAAGACCGATGAGATGCCGATATTTCTCACTTCTAAGTGGCATTAAAGCTTATCGACTTTTGGCTATTTTGGCTTAAGCAAATCAAGACGAGTCCAAGGCTAATCTGTAAGTCCAATGTTTGTTGAGGTCACACTTTGTCTATAAAAGGTATGGTACAAGCTTGACATTACGTTAAAAACAGTGCATCAACCCTCCACATATCGCCATAGCAACAAAATACTAATTAATCATACTGTATTTATGCTAGAAGACTTGAGTGTGTAAGTCTCTTAAAGGCCAAAACAAGTTGTGTCAGACCCGTAATCTGATTTAGATCAGCATCTGGTTTTAAAGCACGTCCTGCTTTTATAACAGTCCTCTCTGATCAGCCGTAATCACATTCTCTTCACCGCCTCGTTCACACCTTCACAGCATGGTCAAACACCTAAACGATAAATAAATCCTGAAGATCTTTCTGAGCTGCGTGAGCATCCGCTGTACAGTCTAATAGGACGGTGATGTCATTTTACATTTCAAAAAAGTAAAGAACAACATTTTAGGGTAAAAACACCAAATTTCACAGCATATAGGAGAGAAATTCAAATTGGACAGAATGATGAAGAGAGAATGAAAGGAAGGAGTAGTTTATACAAGATTATAAAAGAAGTGATTACCTTACCTGTAGGATTAAACGTTGAAGTAAAAAAGTCCTTCAGGACTGCAGGCTAGATGAATTGGGACACTCACACAGCCACAGAGCAATTTAAACACTCACACATACACACACACACACACACACACTAATCTCCCATCCCTGATTGGCTGTGTGCCTCAGGTCCACACCTTATCCGAGATATTCTCTGACGTGCCCACACGCACGCAAGCCTGCACACACACACACACACACACACACACACACACACACAGTCATGCTGATGACCTGCTGCCACGTTTGACAATCAGTGTAGGGAAAAAAATTCAACAGTGTATCGCAAAACTCATGGTATCAGTGATGACCGGTCGTGATTATTAGATGTGAGGGATAAAATCGAATACAATTAGAGCTGAATTAGTATTAGAGCTTGACAAACAATTAGCGCCGAGTGATGCATTATATCACAAGGTATTATAAGAATGATGTGTAGGAAATTATTACACACACACACACACACACACACACACACACACAGGCAGACTGACAGCCTTCATGATTTTTGTCTGAATAATGCTCTACTGGGTTTTAAGGTTGTGTTAGTTTTGTTGCTTCCGAATACCAAACAAACAGAAACGTTTTAACTCTTTCATTCAAACCAAAAACCACTAAATCCACTAAGCCACTAAATCCACTAAAAATACTAAAAAATATAGACAGAATTTGACACCACAGTGTTGATGGGAATGTCTCACTGCCTACAAGTCTAGTCCTTCTTCTTACTAATTTGTATATCTGAAATACCCTTAAAAAATATTCTTCAAACAGGATGGAAGCTATTGAAGAAAAACTATTTCAGACGTTTGACCTTGCTGTGTCTCGTTCTTGATGAGACTCGGACGGAGAGACAGATGGACAGACAACCCAAACATAACGAAAGGTAATGCCTCCACCACCTTGAAGGACAACCTGAAAACCTAAACACCACCATAAAAAAACTTGAATCAGTTTAATAAATGTTATCACCTAACCCTAATATTGTGTACAGTTGAAGTTTCTGTTAGCCGTTCTTTTTCCTTTTTTCCTAGAAACATCCTACTAGGTACGGAGCCAAAGTTATTGGTGTTAATCGACAGAATAGATAATGTGTAAAAATAATTAATTAATTAATGATAGCCTGACAATGGCTTCAATGGCTCACAAATGGATGTACAGTCTGGGCTAGGAAGAAATCAGCCTCGGCCTTGCTTCCTCATACCAGTCTGTTTTTCTTAAAAGTGTTGGTCATGCTCTTGCACTTGGGTGCACAGAAGGCCAAAAATAATCACCTTGAACACATGAAGTATCAGAAAATACTGCTGATGCCAAAAATGAATCCTTTCACAAACTGAAATCAAGACTGACTTTTTTTTTTATGTATTTTGTAAAATCCTGTCTGGGTCAGATTGAGTACGGTTCATCAGTATTAATTACTTAAAAGACAATTCTTCTTTGTCTGTAATGTTTCGCCAAAGTGCAATGATCTTTTTTCCCCAGGCTCTAATTTTTGATTATGTTCATATCTTCATTTGATTACCAACCATTTCTCCATGTTTGTAACAATGCTGGGGGCTCGTGAAGCCGGGAGGAGGGTCCTCTTCGTCTGTTCCCGACTGGACGTACAGGCTTCGATAATTGTCTTCAGTCCTGACACTAAATTTCGTCTTTTTCACAAACAGCCAGTCAAACTGTGAAGCCCCGCATGAGCGACACGTCACACTCCCGGACAATGCAGTGTTTGTGGTTAATTAGCTTAATCTCACGCCATAACAATAAATCTCAAAATACTTTTGGAGCTAACTAATTAAATGGCAGCTAAAAGTTAGTGATATCTTTGAAATATGGACATTGTTCAAACTCTTCACAGTAATAATATAACAAAATAATATAACAGTCCGCACAGAAAGAAGACGATTCCACTATTTTTGTTTCACAATTTTGTTTAATTTTGTCAGCATTCTATAATATCGGCTTCACCGTTAAAACAAAACTAGAGGCATGCTGGATCGATATTTCTATAAGCATCCAAAACGTAAAAGGAGGAGAATTTAGTGTAAAAAAGAATGAAGCAATTTTTTAAAAAAAGGGATAAAAACATTACAAATGCATTCTCTCCAAAAGCATGCACACGTGCACACACACACACACACACACACACCTCAAACAGGCAGCATTTCCAAATCAGTTTATGGACAATCACATCCACAAACCTCACAGACACACACACAGACACACACACAGACACACACACAGACACACACACAGACACACACACAGACACACACACAGACACACACACAGACACTTCTCCATCAGCTTGTGCTTTAGTTAATAACAGCGTAAACATGTTCAGCTTTCCAACAACAGCTACATCCTACACATTAACACATCACACGTTAGGCTGAGATTGTTTTGCTAAACATGACTATTTAATAGAAATTGTGATATTGTGCGTGCACGTGTGTGTGTGTGTGTGTTACATTGTGCTTATTATCGAGTCTGCTTACGTGGGGTTGATCTTACTTGGGTAGATCGAACGTGCTTTTCCATTTTCCTCCTTTAGGAGGCGAAAGCATGTGTGCCTCAAAACTATGGCTGCGTCCTAATACCGTTTTCCACACACCCTCGTCGGCTTCCTCCTGGAGGATTCGGTGTCACGGGCCATTTCTAGGGCCAGTTCTTCATCACGTCACTGAGGTAAAGTTTATTAGATGGCGTCAGTTTGTAGAACTCAAGAACTCAAGAAAGTCATTGCAATCTCGGCTTTAAACAGCAAAAAAAAAAAAAAAAAAAAACGTCAGCAGAATCTGTTTATACATTTAATTATTAAAAATGGAGTATTTAAAAAATATAACTATATGACAGTTGACATCATTTCTTTGCTAGCTAGCTAATTCCCACACCAAGAAGACGTTGTTTATAAGTGTAGGCACGGTAAAGCTCCACTACATCCGATTTTTGTGTTTTATTTTTCCACTCGGAGCAAAAACTTGACGTTCCCAAGTTGTATTGTGTTCACTAATTTTCTAGCTAGCTAGCCTACCTCCTTTCCTTACCAACTGTGTTAGCTAGTCAGCTAATGTTACCCGTCTATTTCTCTAGCTATATTCTCTAGCTGTACTTAAAAATCAAAGTAAATCAAAGCACGTGTTTGCTTGTGGTGTGTCTATTTGTTTAACTGTTTTATTCTCTACTTTGTTTTTCAAGTTGGAAAGCTAATTTTAGCTAGCTAGGTGCTTAGCGTTGTGTATTACAATAAAACAATAACGCTGCATGAATACAACTCAGATTGATTACTGTTTGCACAGTTAGCTAGCAAATATTCCCAGGCAACTTAATTGCGTCAATTTCTTAGCTAGTCAGAAAGCTAGCTAATTGTGATCGTATTGAAAAATCCCCTCCCTCTGCACACCTCATCTTGTGCTGCAAGTGGCCACTCGCGTGATGTAGGCGATACGTACGTACTGTAAGAGTTTTAAGTGGACGCCGATGAGGACGTGTTCTGAAAACAGTTTTGAAATACAGGAAAAGCATTGACAGCAATCTTCTAAGTCTTTAAAACCCTGAATCTTCTAAAAACCCTGAACACTTCCTGGTCAGTCGTAACGCCGAAGACCATCCGGACCATCCTGTGTGACGAAAGAAGATTCACACAGTAATAAGGTAATAAGTACCATCACGCCATATAATTGAAAATACTGGCTTTAGGCGAGCCACGTGAGGACGGACTACATCGATCACACGTGTGGAGAAGACAGGCTGATCTCAGGCTCTTCTGCAGGGACATGAAGAGCACATCAGGAGTGTGAGGACTGATGGAGGGATGAGCGTCAGAGGTATAGGAGGTTCTTCACATGGAGGTGGAACCATCCGGTAAACACTGCAGCTGCTTCTCAATGATGAAGCGCAGATACTTATATCTACAGTGACAGAGAGAGAGAGAGAGAGAGAGAGGAATAAAGGCATGCCATTCATTTTTACATTGTAATGTTATTCCAATGATGCATTAATATTCTAGTTAACTAATAAACAAACCTATGAAGTGTTGTGTTAATTTCCACAATTTATTAGAACTGCGCTCTTCCTACAGCTGAATTTAAGCATGAAGTGCACTAGGAAGGTGACAGAATACCTTTTCGTTATATAGCCTATAACAGTGCGCTTGTGTAGTTTAGAAGAAGAAGCCATCATGCCAACATTTTGTGAGTCATTTAACATAAAACTTCGATAGCACAGTTGGTAGAGCAGCAGACTGTAGATGCTAAAATAGCTGTCCTGAGGTCACTGGTTCAAATCTGGCTTGAAGACTGTTCTTTTTGTAGTTGATAGCTCAGTGGTTAAGACATTGGGACTACTGATCAGAAGGTTATGAGTTTAAATCCCAGCGCTGCCACTGCTGGGCCCTTGAGCAAGGCCCTTAACCCTCAACTACTCAGTTGTATAAATGAGTTAAATGTATGTTGCTCTCAATAAGGGCATCTGCCAAATGCTGTAAATGTATAAAAATGTTTCTGTGGAAAACAAATGAACACTACATACATACAGACTACATACGGCCCATGTAAAAATAAAAAGAACAGAATCATTATAATATTTTTTCATTTTGTTCCAACTGGTTTAGGTATAGTATGCTCAGGTTGGAACATAAAGGTTCAAATATAAATACGTGGGTGAGTCAAATGAAAACCCTGAAAATAAATGAAAAAGTGGGACAAAAATGAGAGAAACATTAAAGTACAATAAATGTGTAGTTGCAAAAGTAAAAACGTACCACTGGTCCATTGTTCTCAATAGCCCCTTCTACTGCTACAATAAACCTCATGCACGTTTGTAACAACTGTTTGCAATAAACAATGCAAAAATGATAATAATAATAATAATAATAATAATAATAATAATAATAATGTTTTCATTCGATGGTTTTGCTTAAAGCAAATCTGACGATTAGAGTGTTTGTGATGTAACTACTGTAGCTCACGTCACGTCGATGCTGATATGTTATAGGTTTAGGGCTGTATATCGATCGATTACTTTACGTAGGAAAGTAGGAGTGTGTGTGCAGTTTTTGGTCTCAGAGGTGAACGTTACCTGCGCTTGAGCTTCTGTACCTCCCTGTCTTCCTCCTCTTTCAGTTTGGTGATGAAACTCTGAAGCACAGGCATCTCAAATTTGATGTACTGTGCCACCTAATGAACAACAAAAAAAATGTTTTCTTTCTTTACATGTCTCTTTATACCAAAGAGCTGCTGGATTAAATTTCTATAACAGCAGCTCTGACAGCAGTTTCTATGAGGAGATGTTTATTTAACTTGACTTATGGAAGGAGTCTCCAGTACCAGTGCTTTGACACAGACAGAGGTAAAAAAATGTATGTGAATTTTTTTCAGGACAGATGACTTTTTTGGTTTCTCTGTAACATGACAAACTGCATTTTTTTTTGGCTTATTGTCTTATTTTGTCTTATTAATTATATTACTTATAGCTGCTATAATGTAAGTGACAACAGGAACTCATTTGTAATTGTTGGCAAATTGCTGTGGTATAAGAGGAATAAAACACTTTGTGACGTCCAACGTCATTACACTCCCCATTGCTGATTATTTTTCTATAACGGCATACCACCAAATGATTTATTCCTTACATAGAGCACAGAAAGCTATAAAAAGCCGATCCTCAAAGACACACAGATCGAGGACTTACGTCATACGTGACCTCCTCTCCGAGGTCCTGCTCCATGAGGAAGATCCTGCAGACCTGCTCACACGGACCCTGTAGGATCCTCAGCACCAGTGGGTGATCTGTGGGCTTCAGTTTAACTCGTTCTGAAAACACACACACACACACACACACACACACACACACACACACACACACACACACACATATAAGACAAATGATAAATATCTGTTTTAGGATGCAATGCTGGTTTTTGACCACTAGATGATGGTCAATTTCCAGGTTTCAGTTGTGAGAGCGAGAGAGAGGGAGAGAGAGAGAGAGAGAGAGAGAGAGAGAGAGAGAGAGAGACTGACCTCCACTGGCGTGGACAATGTAGAGCGCAAAATCATCAGGACTGTTCTCAATCTTAAACTTGTTGAGTAAAACACGCAGCACCTGTGGCGTCGTCATGCAGCTGTTTATCCGTACGTTAGTGACGGAGCCGTACGCGGGAGTGAACACCGCCGTCTGGGCCAGAGAGAGAGAGAGAGAGAGAGAGACATAGATAGAGAGAGAGAGAGAGAGAGAGACAGAGAATCTTTTTATTTATTTCTGTTGTTTCTAAATAGAGGATCACAAAATGTAGGTCACACCTAATCACAACAGCACACGTTTGTGTTACAGTCACCTTGTGGTTGTAAAAGTGGCCGTTGATGGAGAAACGGTGCCTTCTGATTCGCCGCTGGTCGCTAGGAGACCGCTTGTTACCCCGCCTCAAAACACCCGCATCACTTTTGGTCCTCAGGAGCTGAGAGCAGGCGTCTTCTGAAGAGCGAGAGACACAGAAGCAGAGAGAGACATTATTTCACTTACATACATTTCACGTATATACATGCACACCTACATGACACTTCGTACTTTTTTTTTTTTATCCCTTTATAGTTACATTTAATAGTGTGCAGTACATTTAATAGTGTGGAATAAAACAAGATCCTGTAATCACTTACATCATTCCTCACTTTCTCTTTTAGTTAAGACAAAATATGCAGCTTGTTACCAGGAAACGACAAAACGCAACGCGTGAAGACTTTACTGTAAAGTTTAAAGCTTTAGCTCTGACTGTTACAAAACACTGACACTGGAGACTCCTTCCAAAAATATTAAATAAACCTCACCATATCAAAAATGACTCTTTGTTACACAACATTTTAAAAGCTGTTTATTATTAGTCTTAGATTATCTGCCATACAAGTCCTTGTGTAAGTGGTTACTATAGAAACAATGACGTAATATAACGAGCACATTAAAATAAGCCTTATATAACAACTTCCGACCAATCAGAATTGAGAAAATTCCGAAATCCTGCGGGCTCAGCGGAGCAACATTTTAACACTGATGTAGTCTTGCAGTGCATTATAGGTATTAGGCACAATACCGTATCCACTGAGAATTACGTAACTCATATAAAATATAAATGATCATATAAAATATGTATTTATAAATATCGTAAAGCGACTGATATTTTAGTAACAACACATGAAGTACACTAAGTATGACACCCACCCTCTTCCTCATTTTCGTTTTTGTTCATCGTGCTGTTTTCCGATTTGCTCTCAGGTGGTGTCACCTCGATGGAGGGCGGAGCTTGTTTCTGAGCCTCACCTCTACACAGAGACAGAAAATAGCAGTGTTATTTAGAGTAAACTGTATCTTCCTGTTGTGTCACAGGATGTGGGTGAATATGGAGCCTGTTTGTGATCAGTGTTTACATTAACAGCAAGTAACTTCCTGAAACTTCCTGCTGCTTCCATCCCAGGAGGAGCTCCATCATCTGTCCACATGATGATAATCTGAGTTTAACCGCTCGTGTAGCTTTAACATACGGAAATCCTGCATTTTCTGTAATTAGCATTTCTTAGCCATTTCGTCAGTCAATGTCTGAGAGACATTTTCTTCGAGATAAATCACAAATTAGCTTCAGCACAAACTTCCATGATTGCTGTATTGTTGGATCTAACAAATCAGACCATATATGGCTGAGCAAATTCTGGCCCATGTCTTGCAGTTTTATTTTTCCCTCACTTCTTTTTTTTTTTTTTTCTTTTTTCTTAAAACCCAGACTGCATTTTTCTTGGACGGTGTGTAACCATAAATTCCTTCTTCCCAGGTTCTCTTTTTTTTGATGAACATTCTTTAAAAAGAATCCACAGATGTTTCGTGATGATCTGCACAAGTATTATTTTTTCGCGATTAAAAAAAAAATTGAGAGAGATACAATTTTTTTTTTAAGTCTCTTAGCTGCCTCATGTGACAGAGTTTTGATCTCGGCCTTGGTAAGTACATCATATCCATACATCATACTAATCTAAGCAGATATCAGTTCATCTCACCTCCTCGCTGCGTCACGTCAAACCATTTTGCACTTGCCAGGTTACAGATGTCTCACCATAACATCTGTACTAGTGTGCATGACATCCTCCCTATGGTTACTGACCTTCCTTAATTAATGCTTACTTAATAACTTAGCAGCCAAGGGTTACCATAGTAGTTCTTCAATAATTACTAATGACTATAATAAACTATTATGCTGACTAAAGTGTACTGATTTAGTAACGAATATTAAATTACTATGCTGACAAAACCATAATGACTTATTATCCAGTTTTGAACCACTGTGTCATTACAGAAGCATTAATTACTGATACACCAATGTTACCTATTATTATTATTTCCTACACAAACAAAGTGACGAAATCAATCCCATTTCCCTTAATCGCTATTAAATCACTAGTAATCAGTCAAAACTGAATTAACAAGTCATTAATATTTTGTCCTCATAGCAGTGAGGAGCAGCCCAGTTTACCTATTTACCACAACTGTTTAAGATTAGTTACTAAATTATTATACTTTCATTAGCTTTTCTGTTTATTACTTTCAGGAGTAATTAATAGAGAACTGATATGGAAATACATGACTACTTTTTCTTTTGCTAAGTTAGTAAGTACTTAATCATTAATTAAGGAGCCATGAAACAATACATTACCACAGTAATTTAATTTATCAGTAATTTGTGCATCTGTTATGAAGAAATAAGGATAGCGTACAGCAATGATGCATGTAAATGGTTCAAAACTGGATAATAAGTCATTATAGTTTAGTCAGCGTAGTAATTTATTATAGTGATTAGTAATTATTGAAGAACGACTATAATAACACTAGATTACTTACAGCTAAGTAAGTATCTTAAGCATTAATTAAGAAAGTGTTACTGAGGTAATATACAGTATATAGTATAATGTAAAATGGGAACCATTAGTGCTTGAAAAGTCCTTGAAATCAAAATCTAAAGTATGCGTCTAAATCCCATCCAGTAGAAAGATAAGACATGACCTTGGACGCAGCTGGAGATGAAAGGAAGTGTTGCGACCTTTTAAAACTTTTCTCACTTCCAGTAAATGTTCAGACTTGTTATGTCTGTGTGCTGATAAAGTCATGAGGGAATGCGTACACTGAACACACCCTGTGCTGTTCGTCTGAAGATTTTCTAGATGATAAGGAGTAGGAGTGAAATGCTATAAAAGCAGTTTCCATGGAGATTCTGCTCCGAAACAGCTCTAGTTTCTTGCAGGGTCTGCACGTTTACTTTACAT